CGTCGTCGTTTTGGTGGTGGTGGTGGCAGTAGTAGTAGTAGCAGAAGTAGTAGCAGTAGTAGTAGTAGTAGTAGTAGTAGTAGTAGTAGTAGTAGTAGAAGTCCTTGGCTTTCTTTGTCATAAGTTACACTGTACTATACCCTAAACCCCTACAAATTCGAATTACTAATGCCTCAAAGGGTTTGGGGTTACAGGGTCTCACGGCTCAGGGGCTTTTCAGGCTTAGCTTAGGCTCTAGACACGGTTGATGGTTCTAGGGTTTAGGGTGTAGGGTGTGGGGTTGATTGATGGTTATAGGTATTATAGGGTTTAGTGTGCACGAAAGTCGCCTGCAGATCAGCAACCGCCTCTGCTTACCACGTGCTTCTGCCGATTTTCCGGGTCGTACCTGAACCAAGGATGCTGGGCCGTGCCTCACGGGCTTCACCCCTTACGCTTGTCCCATTGCAATGCCCACGTGTTGCGAAACTCCCCGAGCCGCAAAATCCCCAAAGCCTTATACATCTAAACTACGTACATCTGGATTTGGAGGTCACAGGCTTCAGATTCTATAGGGCCTTAAACCCTAAACCCTAAACCCTAGGGTGCAGGGCTCGAAGGGTTTGCTCAAACTGGCCTGCGTCGCTCAAGCGAAGGGTCTCACCAGACGCTACCGGACAGGCAGGTCCCCGATTCAAAGTGTAGCAAGGGTGTGGGGGTTGAGGGCTTTAGGTTTAAAGTTTAGGGTTTATGGTTTAAGGTTTAACGTTTAGAGTTTATGGCTTAAGGTTTAAAGTTTAGGGTTTATGGTTTAGGGTTTTAAGTTTAGGGTTTAGGGGGTGTGTTTCGGGCCATATGACAGGACTGGGTCGGCAATGGCCATCTCCATTGTGCACCGCCCATGGCATCCTTCCACACCGTGCGACCACCCAGATACGGTATCTACCTGGTTTAGGGTTTAGGGTTTAAAGTTTAGGATTTAGGGTTTAGGGTTTAGGGTTTAAAGTTTAGAATTTAGGGTTTAGGGTTTAAAGTTTAGGGTTTAGGGCTTAGGGTTTAGGGGTAGAATCTACCTGATTAATTGTCCAGGAGAGAACCCATTACAACCTCAACCTTAAGCCACCAACACAAACAAGACCCGAACAAGCATAATCAGCGTAGATGCTAAACGCGCCTGAACCCCTGCCAAATCCTGAGACCGCAAGCCCCAAACAGCTGTCGATCATACTCCAAGCGTAGAACCCCAGTTGTTGCTCCTGCAGGCTCATAGAGCTCAAAAACTGATCACAGAGAGTCCTTGATACTTAGAACAGGGTTCCGGGGGGGGGGGGGGGGG